TACAATAGGTCTCTTCTGGCCGCAGTACCGGCTGTTGGGCAATTTTCACGAATACCTTTTATTATTATTATTAACAGTTAGTACTTTGTGCTATGTTTGAACTCTATAATCTTTGTTGAACATTACATAATATTACTATTAAAGGTGTAGTTTTTTGCACTTACTTGTATCACACGCATTGGTAATCCTGTTTCCTTTGCTAATTGTTCCCTAATATGCCGTGTCGGTTTCGGTGTTTGATTAAACGCCGTTTTCAGTACTTCCAATTGTTTTGCTTTTATCGTCGTACGAGGACCGCGTCTTTTAGAGCCATTCGCATCATCAGGGCTTTTATTTTCCGCTTGTGAATCGCCACGACCATCAGGATCGCCATCTAAGGACCCCTATTTAAATAATAATGTAAAATTAGCTACATGAATAGAAGCAACTACAAATTCTTAAATAAGAGTGGATATAATTTATCAATAAATTTGTTAAAATAATCATTTGCAAATCATTAATCATAAAATGAACAACAGCGTTCGCGCATCATTAACAGCAACCGAGTCAATAGCCAATGCCTTACAAACAAAACCATACAAAGGCGGTAAAACATGAAAAGTCGCAGTCAAATAATATAAATTGTTATGAATAAAAAACATAATAAAAATAACAAAAAAAAAACAATATTTGGTAGAAAACGAAAGAAAAACATGTGTTGCTGCAACATGTTGCAATCATTGTTATTTACCTGATCTGAATCGTCATGCGTATTTTTACTATCCGTGCTCATGCTTTGTACTGAAATATCGGATGCACCCAACGGTCCACCCGCTGAGTCCGGCCCGTTTGGACCTAAAACGCCAAGACCGAGCGGTGGTCCGCGCAAATGTGGCGGATCATCGTCATCTTCATCTTCGCTGGCGGAACCCATTAATGAATCTGAAAACAAAACAAAAAACAACAACAATAAGATGTGAGTTCAAATAGAAGGTGGACATTAAATGAAAAGTACGAGTTTAAAAAATGAATTTTTAATGTAAAATTTTTAGGGTTTTGATGTGTTTTAATGTGTGAATGAATGAGTTGAAGAATACAAAAGATGCACCAGTAATAAAAAAATCGTTTATTGCTTATTGTATCAACGTTTTGTAATGTGGAAACTTGTGAGAAAATTTCAACACCATACGCACTTCAACTCTTCCGAACTTTTTTCGGTTATGAGCTTGAAAACGTGTCTGGTATTAAGAAACCCCAATTGGTTAACAAGATGATGAATCAACTTGGCGTAATGCAATCAATAATATTTATGTAGCTAATCTCTTTGAGTGAGCGTTGGCGCGCACATCGCAGAGAGACGCATTCAATTCTAATAAAGAACGCTTTAGGTATGTTTAGGCTGTGGGTGCAAGAAGTTCTTTAGTCCTTCCAACCCATTGACACGTGTTACCATTTCATGGTGTCTGACATGTAAATTTGTGCATATTGCACGTGCCGCTACCGGAACACACTTCCCAAACGGTAAGTAACCGCCTGAGACTAATGTTTCAATGAGGAAATGTTTTTTTTATTCTGTGTTGGAATAATTTGTAAAAGGATCATTGAATAATTCAGATACTTAAACAACGATTTAATTTGAAAGTTTGTATATGAATTGGAAACACATGTTCTCAATTGAAAATAAATTAATATGTAATTAAAGTATCAAAGAATTCAATGAGAACAAGAACTAAAGCTTGAGAATAAAGAAATTGGACCCAATTGTTATACATACATAGTCGAACCCAGATCCGATTAGAGTGATTGTACAACTATTTTTAGTACATCGATATCCTTTGGTGAATGATAGTAGCAAGGCACGTAGCCAGGAAGGAGCTTGAGCGACTGAAACCTCCTCCGAATTGAACCGATAAGCGACATGTATAAAAAAGATCTACCTTTGTATAAAAGAGACCTACCTGGGTTTTGGAATAAGTAAAGTATGAGATGAAATTTTTTCTTTTGGCTATTCTAATAATCATAACAGTTAACGTTGATTTATAACTTTCTGTCAGAAAACACAATAACAACATTAATAGAAATACTTCATTCTACAACTACATTCTAAATTAGAAAGAATTTGACAAAGTCCATAGTTTTTATCGTGATTACCAGCCATTAAGCGTTAATACTATGGCATCAGTAGGTATAATGCTGCGATAAACGTCCGTACTGGAATTCCAAGAAACTTAAACGGTATCAATTGAACTTATATGTTTGGATATCGCTTCCTCCTTAGGAGGGAGCAAGGTACGTCTTACGGTATCAATTGAATCTATGTGTTTGGTTATCACTTTCTCCTTGGGAGGGAGAAAGATACATCTAATATCTCTGCTGTTCTTAGGGGCACAGCACACGGTAGTAACACCCAACTCCACATCAAAAGACAGTCATGAATATTAGACAATATACCCGTGCAACTTTGTTATTAATCATACCAACTTTGATACTCTTTTTAAATAGGCCTATCTCAATTATTCAGGAAAACTGAAACTGTGGGCCCTAACACCCGTGCTATCAGATTTACAGCTCCAGTCGGGTGTCGTAAGTCAAAGTCAGTTACTACTATTTATACTTCAAACAGTATCGGTGATTCTCGATACTGTCTCGAACGACAGGCATGCCTTACATCAGGAATATTCTAATCTCTTTCCCGCGGGCATGGAGTACCTTGACAATAAAAACTTTAATATTTGTTAATAAAACAGAATTTATAGTCTTCATTGATATTTAGCTTTTGATAATTGATAAGGAAATTTCTCACTACCTTATATTTCTAGATATTGGTGGAATCGTTAATCTCACACTCTACGTTCGTTATCATTCTACTTAACTTTAATTAGAGCCTGAAATATATAAATGCATAGGCCTATTACTATTACAACATAATAATTCCTCCTTCTGATAATTTTTACTCAAACGGTATGGCTACTGTTAATTTCAGAAGTTCAATTTGATATTTAAGGGCATCTAAGGTCTATAGATCATCGAAATTTTACTGCTTTATTTCTCCCTTCCTATTGTAAATATTTGTTTTAATAAAAATTATTATTTAATTGAATTTTTTTGTTAAACTGCTTATACTTTTAAATTTCTTTAAAATATTTTAAATTTTACTTATTTTGTTACTCGTTAAAATTTTTAACTAGTAAATTTAAATTCTACTTATTTTTTGTTTCAAATATTTTGGTTGCTGTAAGACATAATTTTTATCTCATTTAACACTGTCCACGTATTAAACTCACACGTATTTAACCTCTGTAGTCCTTTATTCCGAGTACCCTTTTGTACTTATCCTTGGAGTAAGCTAGCAATGCTAGTTTCGTTACAACGAGCGAATCGTTAGAATGAAAAACTCCTCTGGGAAATGTCATTCAAATACAATTTGAATTTTTAAAAACCTGTCGCTGTAGCGTAGGTCTTTCTTCCATCTAGCGTTGTTAAATAAATGCTGACAATATTGCGTGAGTTACGTAGCAGTCGTACAGGGTAGCAAGCCAAGCAAATCCATTTCGTAAGCAGAAGTGCCACAAGTACGTGCACCAAGCAGTACCAGGCGTAAGACAAAAAGATGCGCGCAAGTAGGAGAGAAACTTTTTAGCCGTGCTTGACTGTCAGCTAACGTGTGTGACTGTGATTTTTTCACAATTCACTGCCGTCGGTTGTCGGTCGTCGGTCGATGTCTTAAAGTCCCTTAAGGGAATTGTGTGATGGGGTGCGGGTGCAATACAATTGTGAATTGTGTGGTGTACGGTGTACGGTGTGTGGGTTATCATTTTATAAGCAAAACTGTTGTTGTCTTTCAAGGGTGTTTGGATATCACTTGTATTGCTCGAATCAATTTTTTTCCGAGTGTTGAAAATTTTATTAGATTTGTTCGCTATGTTTTCTAAGCAAATATACAATTTCCCTTAGTTCTGTTTTTTTTTGTTTGTTTTGTTGGTTTAATTTTCTGCATATTGTCTGTTGTGTAGGAAATTTCTATATCACTTGTCATTGTCTCTTACTCGTGTGTATAAGTGTGTTGCCCGTGTTGCTGTGTTGCCATATTTCTGTAAAAATTTATTTTTTGTAGTAAATTTTTGTATACTCATATACCCAATGTTCACTACGTGGCAAATGAGTTTAAGTAAATAACTGCAAAGTGAAAGCGCAGCTAAGCCACTTCGTAGACCTCATCTGCTTCGGATTAGATTATGCATAATAAAGTTTAATTTATTTGAAACTTGGTTGGCAAGGCTTTTTTCTGTCGTTCGTTTGGGAAATTTGAGTCAGCAGTTGTGATTTTATAAGGTTTTGATTTGATGAATTTAATATTTTCTATGTCTACATGAATTCATCTCAAGGGATCTGTAGTGAGTGTGTCATGATTTTTAAGTGGCTGAGTGGTGGTCGTCACGAATCGTGCTGCTTGTGACAGAGATTGTATTACAATGATTATAAAATTATCGAAATAAGAATTAGTTGATGTTAAATACTTTTAAATTAAATTCAAACTGCAATTTCAATTAAATGTACCTCATAAATATAAAAAAGGTGTAAATCATTCGGATAAAATGCAACAAGTAGTTTATAAAATGTGATTTTTATAGTTAATTCATAGAAATGGAATTCAGATAAAATTTTTTTTGTCTTGCAAAGGTGGCGAAAGGTGAGTTTATTTAACAATTTTTTATTTTGAATGAAATTAAAATGTTTAATGTACTTTGAATAAAGTAAGTCTTCGTTCAAATATCGCATATCTTTGCAATTGAAATCGGCAATAATGGATTTATTGTCCAGTGATGAACATATTGAAATATAGTGAATGAAAAATATTGTGGTAGTAACAAAAGTGATTTGACGGTTTTTTTCTGCGGTATCCTAGATAATTAGATGCTTCATAACTAGTCTGCTGAGCAAAAGAGTAGTATTGTTGTTTTGTGTATAAATTAGAAACTTTAGTAAGCGACTCGTTATTTTTGATCGCACTTCACAGTGTCCAAATATACCTTATCATATTATGTAACGTTTAAAGCGAACCAGTTTTTATAAGTAGAAGAAAACTCTGTGGTATATTATCTCAAATACTTTCCTTCACACAATCACTTGGGTAATTTAAAATCTTGTTGGAAGGTAAATCTTATTGAAGCTATTTAAACATTTTACGACCTGGATTGAAGCAGTTTTAGATTTAAAATTGAACAGTCAAAATAATATTATATAGTAATAAGAACACAATATATGTCGGCTACTGGTCATCGCTCGGACACTGAGCTAGTAGCTGGTGACTAAACTTTTGAATATGTCAAGAATTTCATCTATCTCGGTACTGCTGAACTTCAGGGTAATCACAACAATTTCAGCCTGTAGATCAAAAAAGGAATTGTCATTGCCATAGGTGCTTTTATGAGTTCAATTAAGAATTGGGATAGTTATCTCTTTATAGGAAAAACTTACGTTCTATATCTGTGTCACTATATAACGCAGAAGCATAGACTTTATCACAGAATGATGAAGCAGCTCTGAAAGTTTTTAATAGAAAAGTTTTTCGTAAGATGTTTTATAGTCTATGAATTGGCAAAGACAACTACATCCGATTGAACCACTCTCTGTCACAACACTGATATAGTTAAGCGAGCTAACTCCCAGTGGGTTCACTGGCTTGGTCATGTCATGAGAATCGATAATGATGCTTCAGCGAAAAAGGTATTTAAAGCGTCAGTTGGAGATAAAGGCGAAGAGGTAGACCATTTCTCTGGTCAAAGCATCAAATTGAGTACCACACCAACTGCTCTTGATGTATAAGATTGGAGAAGATGCGCATACAGCAGAAGCGCCTCGAGATACAAGTCAACACCCGATAGAGGGTTGTTATAGTCATTTAAATAAGTGAAAAAGAACGTAAGAACTAAGCCT